TAGTCATATATTTAAACCCTTCCAAGACAAAGAAAAAGAGACAAGCTTGAAAGGTACAGAGTAAAAATCCCTTAGAGAGGAATAAGAACGTTTTTATAATGTGCTTCTTGTCAAACCATACAAGAAAGTTCAGTGATATTCATAATTTTGAAACATTAATGTTGAACAACAAATGCAACTGACAAATCTGAAGTCTCTGGTGTTTGGAGCAGAAACAAATTTTTGCATGATGATACATTTGGATTTAGAATTAAAATTTAGTGATTATTGAGGACAGAATTCTGAAAAATTGAAGATTAAAGATTAAATTGAATCTCTGCTCTGAGTTAATCCTTGCAAGGTTAGAGAAACCAGGAAGTTACAATGAAGAAACAGTAATGGTTCTTGGATAAAACATTTATAAGTGATGGGAAACACCAGCGTTAAAAGGAAACCTTGGCTTCCTCTGTACCTGCCCCTCATCTGGAAGATGTGTTCTGTGCATCCTGAGCTCCCCCTGCAGCCCAGCCCTCTTTCTTCAGGGAGATGTGTGTGTCTGGGCTCACACTGCCTTCCCTTCACTGAGCCTCTGGTACAGTCATGCAGGTCCATGTCATCAGATTTCAGGTAGGTCATTTTAAGACAGAAAGGGCTGTCCCTAGACATTGTCCCTAGATATTCAACTTTTCTTGAACTGGTGGAGAATAATACTAATTTCACTTGTTTCACTCACTTGTCACCCACTGCAGCCCCTTCCCTGAAGCAAGGTGGACCCAGCACATGACATAGTCACTGAAGTTGAATCCAGAGGCTTTGGTGGAGAGGCTCAGATAGCCCCCAACATCCAACAGCTGAACTTCACAGAAGAAACCTGCACACAAAGAAAACACCCTATGAGTCAGAATCTTTTTGTAGTTGTTGTTCCCCTGGTTTTAACAGGAGCTCTGGTGGCATAGTGCCTAAGGCATTTGAATGCTAACCAGAAGACTGGGGGTTCAGTCCTACCAGCCACTGCTTGGAAGGAAGGTTGGGGAATCTACTTCCATAGTGACACCACCTCAGAAACCCAAGGAGGGGTCACTATGAGTCAGGTCCGACTTGATGGCACATGGCAACAGCAAACAACAAAAGAATGGGTGTTGTAGGTATTGTCTGACACACTGAACACCAGGAAGCAAACAGACAAGGAGGACTGGTGGTGGTGTGGTAGTTGCTGTCTAGTCGGCCCTGACTCAGGACGACCTTGTCTATAACAGAACGGACCAGCGCCTGGTGCTGAGCCACCCTTCTGATCACTGGGGTATTTGAATCTCCTGCTGGGGCTGTTGTGTCTATCCACCTCATCGAGGTTTCTCTCCTTCTCGTGGATCTCGACCTCAGCAGACATGCCCTCATTCTCCAGCAAATGGTTTTATCAGATGGAATTGGAGAGGACAAGCCAGAAAAGTGGTGTTTCAGCTCCACACGAGGCATGAAAAAGGGCAATAACTCAGCAACATGCTGTCGAATGTACTGAGTATTCTCTTAGTGAAGTGTTCACTGCAGCAGGATTGAGAGGGCAGGGAAAACACACGAATCTTTGCAGGTGTTAGAGTTCGGAATGAGGACTCATGATTTCCTGATGTATAAAACTTTACTGAGTGAGTTCCGGCAAGATGGCGGACTAGGCAGAAGGATTGCACAGACCCTCTTCAACAAAGAAAAGGGAAACCAATTAACACAGACACAGAAGATTATCGTGGACCCCTGAGCCTTGAAGGGAAGGATACAGAATTGAACTAAACCCCAATTAGCAGAAGAATTTGTGTGAAAATACCAAAAAAAGGAGACATACGGAGTTGCGTACTGACAGCGAACGGAGTGACCCTGACCATACAGATGGCTCTGAGATCCCCGACTGGTGGTAGGACCTAAGAATTAACCTAAAAATCACCCTGCCAGTCAGGGACTGCATGGACTGTGCACCGTGGCTGGGGAACAAGCAGAGAAGGTGAAGAGAAAGGTAGGCTGAGCTGTGGACTTTTGTCAGTCCGGCCACCACCATTTTGTAGGTTTAAAAAGTGGCTTGACTATTTTTAAAGAGACAGCGCTCTCACAGATTCTTGTGGTGGTAGGACCTAAGAATTAACCTAAAAATCACCCGGCTAGCCAGGGACAGCACGGGCTGTGCAAGGTGGCTGGGGAACAAACGGAGAAGG